ATAGATAGATAGATAGATAGATAAATAAATAAATAAATAAATAAATATTTAGTTGTTAAACCTCTGTACAAGAGCTTTTCATAGCATAGTGTATATATGATATATGTTGTTTTTTTACTGTCGCTGCACAATGATCACATGGTGTTAGTCAGTTCAAGTTTAGATGATCAGATGCCACAATATAGAACGCAGACTATGCTACGTTTTTTCTCTAGTTTTATTGATTCCACAGCGAAATTATGTCGGTATCTTTGACTTTGTTTCTGCGTGCCATCTCAAGATCTTTCAACTGAGGAAAGAACGCCTGGTTAATCTTTTTTGTATAACCGTCAAATTCAAAATGGCGGCAAAATGTTCAATGATTGCGACTCAATATCTCGAAAACGAATACGGTGACCTCCTATTTTCTTATTCTTTAAATCGACATATAAATTATTCGTCAAAATAAAATAAAAACCATTAATTCAGGAGAAAAAAGACGCAAAATTAACCAAAAAATCTACAGTGATTATTTAAAGTGCAGTAAGACAAGCTACTACATAAATCTGATTGAAGACAGCAAGGGAGACTCAAGCAAACTATGCAGTTATTAAATCTACCTGCCGTAAAAAATATCCGGCCTCAGCTCCTAATTGCATAATCTTGGACAAAGTTCAGTTTTTCTAGGGCCTAAGTCCATTGTAAGTGTACTGAACAATCACTTTGCTTTAATTGGTCAACTTCTTGTTAATAAAATCTCCTCTGTGATGCCTGTCTTCGCACTTGTCACTTCTGAAACAGTCTCTAGTTTGCGTCTCATTTCAATTGATGAGTCATTTGTCGTTAAATGTACAGCTAAAATCACTGAAGACCAACAAATCGATTGGATTGGACAACATCAGCGCTCGCCTTCTTAAGGATGCTGCTGACGTAATTGGAAAGCCAGTTACTAATCTACTGAACCTATCCATCAAGCTTCACTCCCTTTCTCTCATCTGGAGAGAATGTGCTAAAGTCACAGCTCTTGAAATTCCGTAATAGAAATGATGCTACTAACTATCGACCAATTTCTATTTTTTCAACTCTGAGTAAAATCCTCGAAAAAGTTGTCCACCTTCAACTCTATGAATACCTAATTACGAGCAATCTGCTCTCCGAAAGTTAATCTATATTGTGCCCTAAAAGCTGGTGTCTATAAGAACGATCTTATATGGTTTGATTCCTATTTGACATCGAGATTTTTACGCACTTCCTGTGGTGTGGAACTCTCAGATCCATTACCATGTAACCTTGGTGTGCCACAAAAAAGTATTCTTTGTCCACTCTTGTTTATCGTCTACTTAAACGATCTACCTGACATTGTGCAGCATACTGAAGTAAAAAGAAGAAATGGAAGTGGGTTTCGTTTGCCAAGCGTTAAAACGAATTGGGAAAAACAAAGGAAATTTTATCGAGCCATTGAAGAATGGAACAATTTAAGTAATCATATCAAGGGCACTAGGACAACGAATGTGGTTGGACTTCTATAGGTTTTTTTTCCTTTCGATTATTTGAATTAAATTAACGTTATACTTGTTTACTTATCTTGCGTCCGTGTTCCTTCGTTCGCTGTTGTAAAGCAGGCGTTTTCATTCCAAAGGTCAAACGGTTTGAATAGCCTATATGAGCGTTACTTCTTTAACGGCCGTTCCGTACTTGACTCTGTTTGTTCTATACCAACAACAACGCGACCGCGCGATGCTCCTTACGTCAGTAATATTCAACCGTCCAGAGTTAATATGGTTAATCAAATCCACCTTAAGTTCCATACAGAGTAAGTAAGAGTAACTTTCCAAAACATGTAATTTTATGTTTTATCAATTTGTATTTTGTCTCATCATTTTTTTCATAACTCAATCTTGTTATATTATTAGCTTTACAGAACCTTCTTGAAAATCACTATAGCAAAGAAACATTCTGTTTAGATATTATGATAAATAAATAAATAGACTAAAATTCCATACAATTGCAAAATTAGTTTGGCACCGCGCGGATGAAAAGGCTCTTCCGTGTTTCGTTCTCGTTTCTTCAAACATTTGTGTCAGAAATGTGAAGGACAATACTGTTCATGTTCTGGTATGTTTTTGTCGAATTTCGTTTATTTTCAATATTTCGATGTGTTTATGCGATGTGTCATGTTTAGCTAAAGCACTTCTGAGGAGCCACGGTACCAAAACCATATACTGAAGCTAGAAAAAACAGCTTCCATTACAGGGGGGGGCAGTTCTCTGGAATAATTTGCTCAATCATACTAGAGGGCAACCAAATCTTAAATTTTTTGTAAGAAACTTAGAATAATTTATTATTAGCATTATAAAGCTATTTTTAGTAGATTGTAGTAAATTTTGTACATATTATTTGATCTAATTATTTATTATTTGTTATTGTATATACGGCTCTCTGGAAGAGCATTT